GGTGGTTGAGTGGATGGGTAGATACATGGGTGGTTGAGTTGTTGGGTAGATTCATGGGTGGTTGAGTGGATGGGTAGATACATGGGTGGTTGAGTGGATGGGTAGATACACAGGTGGTTGAGTGGATGGGTAGATACACAGGTGGTTGAGTGGATGGATAGATACACGGGTGGTAAAGTGGATGGGTAGATACACAGGTGGTTGAGTGGATGGGTAGATACACACGTGTTTGAGTGGATGGGTAGATGCATGGGTGGCTTAGAGGATGGGTAGATGCATGCGTGGTATAATGGATAGGTTGGGCAGGGTTTAACACCACACTGGTCAGTATTACAGTTATATCTCAGCACATCAGCCTAATCATATGGAAGGAAGGCCCAAAGTAATGGAAATCTGAAGAATATGTATGATGCTGACAACCCCAGAAATGTAACAACAGCAAACTGGGACTGAAACATGCATCTTAGGTGTCTGGTGTGTCCAAGGGAGGGAACTCTGCACGGACTTACAGCACATGAGATGATTTGGCAACCATGCCTCAAAAAGAAAGGCCAGATGGTTTGGTAGTTGAATGGGTGTGTATATGGATCCATGGGTAGATGACAGATGACATTTAACACATAAACAGAATAACTGAGTTGAAAGAAATTATGGACTATCAGTGATTGAATTATTTTTTTACACTTTTCTTGAGTTAAGCCATAATAGAGTGACTAAGGCAAGTAGGTAACGTATTAGCATACAGTCAAGGTCAGACATTTCAGTGATATATTGTATATTCCAAGGAGGCCGTTCCTCTATGTAAATACTTCCTCATAATCTCATTGTTATTTTGATGCAGGAATCATCATGTGTGTCTGGGATAGGTTTGGGGAAACTGGATCTATAAATAGCCCTCCACATGTAGACCTAGGTGGAACAGCTAAACATGTAAGGTTGCTACAGGTATATTAATAAACATTACACAGAGAAACAAGGATTGAAAGATATCGTGATAACCTCATTCAACAGACATGGCTGCTGATACCACAAAGGTACTGTTCTCTTCAATATCTTAGTTACCATGGTTATATGAATCTTAAAGGATGAAGTATGCTGGCATCCTATTTACAAACTTGAAGTTACTACACTTTTGTAAAACTGGTATGGAAATTCATGGTCACATTTTGTATGACTGACAATTATTGACTCAACCTTTATATTTGCATCTCACTTATACAAAAGTATGTCAAATATAAAAGGAAAAAGCAGGGATGGAAATAACCCATTGCCCGACGCCTGAGTCCAGTGTTTTTTTCTGTCGGGCAAGCATATTTGTATATCACACTGTACCTGTGTCCAGTTGATATTCCAATGTTAATTATGTTGTTTATTTTAAAAATCAACAAGAAAACGGCCGGTATAGTGGAAAAAAATTTTCAGGGCAAGTGATTTTACATGTGCCACTATACCGGAGTACACTAGCAATTTTAAAGTTATTTCCACCCCTGAAAAGGACAATATTTTACAGACGGATTCTACAGTTACATCACTTAACCCTTGGCCTAAACCTGGGAGCCGCTAGATTCTACAGTTATGTCCCAACAAATCATCATAACCCTGTTTATTGATATATCAAAAGATAGTGGCTGCACCAATTACGACATAAACTTATCATTCTAGTGCCAGGTCAGCATCATGTTAAATGGTTTGTATATCTCATGGTTTTCATAGCATCAAATCTAGCAAAGGTCAATTTGGCTCTGAAGATGAAAGATTTCAAACTACTCTTAAACTGCATAAAATAAGTATGTCACCAGCAAACCCTCAATCAATTTTAATGAACTTGAACCAAATACCTTCTACATTGTTATGCCCATTATGGGGCCTGGTCTCTGCCACAGATGAATAATTGCCTCCATACCCTGTGATTCATGTACTTAAGTTTATAAGAAAAGACAATAATAGATATTTGTTAGCAAACAGTCAATATGTTTGAAACTTATTCTGTCATGAAATCCATCTCAAACCAACAGAATATATTTTCTTCACAACTGTCAGTTGAGTTCTGCAAACAATTTCTCACACCAGATTCCCAGTCCGAAATTTGCAACAGAAGTAGTTATACTACTGGGGCGGTGGGGGAGTCTAGTGGTTAAAGCGTTGGCTCGTCACCCCGAAGACCTGGGTTCGAATCCCCACATGGGTACAATGAGTGAAGCCCATTTCTGGTGTCCACCGCCGTGATATTGCTGGAATATTGCTAAAAGCGGCGTAAAACCAAACTCAGTCAGTCAGTCAGTTATACTACTTCCACAACACACCATGGCCAGCCCTCCTCTATAGATGTACAAGCATACTGATGGACATTTTGACTGAACAAGGTTAAGCTGTATGTAATGAAATAACCAAATACTTGTGAGCCTGCTCCCAGTGTTGTTGCAAGCCCTCCAGACCCACTTAACAATTCTTCAAGCATGTAACACTCTCTCTGGGGTCATAAGCTTCAGCTTGAGGGACTTAGCATTCATAACAGGCTTAGGTAAATATCAGCTCTGGGGTCATTACTGATGGCCATTACCACCGGTCATTGGTCAGTCATGTGACTCATACACCCTCTAGATAGGGAACATAGATACAGAGAGAAATGTGTATAAACTGGATAGTATATGACTAAACGTTTAGTCTGGTATAGACAGTGGTCCTGAGTTATGAAATAATGCAGTAATTGTGACCTATGATGTCACAATATGTACATGGGTGATATAATAAACGATTAGTATAGGACTGACTGTTTCATCTGGTATCGACAGTGGTCGTGAGTTATGAAAGTACAGCAGTAGTCGTGTCTAATGGTGTCATTATATGTACATGGATGACAGAAGATATTTCTTTCCAATAATACAAAAAGTAGTTCTTAATATCAATAATATTTACCTATTCATTGACAGAAGTATATTTAATATTTGATCAAATGTGCAACCCATTCTTAATGACTCATGACTTCAACAATAGTAATAATATTGTTACACAAGCACAAACTACTACAATGTCATTTTAACATTTAATAGAACCAATAAATTCAGGATGGCAACTTGGTCTGGTGTTGACAGAGATCTAGAATAATCTGATACCACTGTAAACCAGATGCATTATGTACATTTGATGAATATGTGGTACTGTATTACTAACAGTGCTGTAGATTGTCTGAGTCACCAGCCCAAACCAGGTCGCACCCTGGTCCTGTAAATGTGTCAAGCCTGAATCAAGGGGCCATGCCCTAATAAATATTAATATCAGATCTCAGATGAAAGTCTTCATTTGCAATGCAGTTAGTATTAACGTCCACAGTACTTCTGTGACACTGCCATGAGTGACAACAATCACATATTACAGTACATCTATCATTAGTTGGATGATCTGAATACCCTGATACAGGGGCAAAATTCATTCACAGATGACGCACGAGAACAGCACTTAATCACAACTCGGTGTCATCACTTATGAATATGATCACTACTGCTCGAAGACTGCTCTTCAACTTTGTCTCTAGATTTGTAGGAGGTTTCCCTTGTGTCTTGGTCATCCTAAAGGCTACTACATTATCCAGCTGTACTATTTCCTAGTTTCAGTTTGTGTAATTCTAGAACTCTCCTAATTATCTAGGTCACAAGCATTACTCCACAAACCAGGCAACTGCTACTACCCGTGGAGTTATGACTTTCACATGTGGCCAAATAAAAAAAATGTTGTGGTTCTTTGAAATTTAGGGTACCTATGAATTTAAAATTTTTTATTTTTTAGAAGTAAAGTACAAAATAACAAAACATTTATCAATGTGTAATTGTTTATTCACATAAGCTTGTGGCCATCATATTGACTTTCTCTATCAGAATGACTGATGTCTGTTGGTGCTGGGAAAAACCAATGGTATCTGAAAGCTTATTTTATTCATTACGCTTAAAAAAAATAGGGTCGGCACCAGAATTCAAGAGTCAGGCGGGTAATCAGAACCACAACATTTTTTTTAGGCCTGATGTATCTCTAACTAAACTCTTTGTCGGAATTGTTAAAAGTATCTTTATTGACAACTGCTTATTTTTGACATGGGTGCCAAAAGCGCCATCATTTCAATCCCTTACATATGAGATGGATGAAGCATCAACACAAACTAGGAACCTAGGCTGTTTGCTGAAATACACTAAGACTTCCGTAAAACATAATAGGACCATGTGCACATAATACTGAAGTACCCACAGTTTGATCATGTTAAACCCAAAGAAAGCATTAGCAATTACACATATCACATGCACATATCACATGCATGCTGTATGGAACAAGTAAGTGTTAGTCAAACACAAAATTATGTATGGAAACATAAATAGTAAGTTGCACTTGTAAGTAATCATGGTATTAGGCTGAACTGGTTCATGTTTTATATGCCTAAATTAAGCCCTGACAGACCCTGGAAAAAAGAAATGTCTGATTCTGAGAAGCATTGGAACACTCAACATGTATTTAGAAAAATCATATAGGTCATTCACTTCACTTGAATCACATCACTTCTGTGTTCTTAATCATGTTAATCTATAAAATAACTTACTCAAATACTTGTTTGGATCTTATGTGACAAGTGTGCCCCTCCTTCAATTACTGACCTCCATATATGTGCAAGGACGCAAGGAAACATTGCCCCGTGTAAAATGTATCCTTTGTTCAATATTTTCAGGTGACCACTATTATTTTCACAGGTTGGTGCATCATGCTTTCCATGTAAATGAAGTGATTTAAATCAAATGTGAAAGTAAAAGGATGGTTGTCGTAACCCCATGGTTTAAGGTCTAAGACTTGGGAGTCCCTAGTTTCAAATACAGCAAACCTCAGGGTACTATGAACCACTGAATTTCCACTAAGAAGGAATATGTATATTAATATTTCAAGACACAAGTTAATTGTTCTTAAGTAAACTCAATGTGTCTTGCTGATAACATGATCTACAGACTTCATGGGAACTGACTTACTGTGGATGCACTTCAAACTGTGCCAGGTGTGGGGGTGTCTTCCGTTCTGGATTGATGAGCTTCATCCAGAACTGAGGTAGAAACACTCTATGCTGAGGATTTCCTTTCCAGTAAACAGGTGTCCGAGGTATGCGCCTCTTCCATAATGGTCTAGAAGAAGAAGTCATATCACCACAAATGGCAATCAAAAAGATAATGAATGTTTTTTCAAAATTGAGCAACTAGGTCGAGAAGATAAGATCTTTTATATTTTCCTTATGTTATTTCTTCTTATAAATCTATATCAGTTACCCTGATTCAAAACTATCACATGACTAATTGTTTGATCACATTTTGGAAGTTGGTGATTCAGTAACGAAGCATACATCTTTATGGATAACAACTTCTTGTTTATTGCATAGAGCGACCTCACAGACGTAACACTCTATCATGCCTAAGTAATCATGATGTAGCATGGTGCTGTCTGAGCAAAATATATAGAAATCCACTAAAAATTGAAATAAAAAATGTAGTTTATTAACATTACTTCAAACGATATATATTTAAACAGCTGGGGCAGGGGCAATTTAGGGGTTGCAAAAATGATTGTCCAGGTTCCAAATGATTTTGCAAACTGATGTTTATAGGACAGTTTCACCCCATGGTGACCAGCATTTTGCTTGTAATTATGAGATCATTTTTAATGTCATATGCAAATGATGACTGCCATAACACGTGTACACAAACTGACCACGCTTGATGCAAAACTTCATGAAAAGCACAAAATCTGTTACACCATGGTATACTCTGATACACTTATGTCGATATAATAATGCATCCCTTCACTAATGCATGGGATGCTCATATGTTTATTTCATGATCAACAGTATATACATATATATTCTATTATATCATGAAAGTCAAGAGGTCTTTGTCAAAAACCAGTGTTTAAAATTCAGGGGATTGTGGTGGTCCTTATAATTATATGCCCTATATTTTCAGGTATTTCATTTGGTAAACCTACACTAGCTCCTGAATCCATTCACGTGGATCTTGCAATCGCAAGTTATCTGACCTCCCCTGATGAAGGAGCAAGCATACATTCTGAAACATTGTGTTATTCACAATAAAGAAGCTGAAATCCATAAAATTTGCATTCCACTTCTAAATGCCCTTCACAGATTTTATCTGACCAGTTATCATTCACATGGAATGCATAATTTATTTTACTTGGCTGCGATAGGCCTTGCATCTAGTATCATCACATTGAATGCAGTTTGTATCTAGTGTAGACACTCATGAGACTTCCATTTAAAAGTTGGAATATTTACTCACTAAAATTGAGTAAACAACTTAACATTGTTTATCAGATGTTTATGTTTTGACATTTGCTATCACGGGTTACACAGTTCGATAGGTCCATGGCATAGAGGATAAACTTTCAGAATAAACTAAGATCTGATGTAGAACCTAGATATAGACTCAGCATACGTGACGGAATACGCGTATGTCATTGAACCTCAAAGAATACCCCTACCCCCCAAACGCGTGTTAGTGTTGTGTCATCACGTGGAATCTTATCTGTAGTTACCAAGACAGCCCGACAACAGTCATAGACTCCTTCATGTTCTAATACGTAGGGGAAATTACGTGTCAGAAAATCAGTACGCTATTAATAGACTAAAAGAAGAAAATGGGTGTTGTTTCATCGACTTACATTAATCGTCCTACCCCTCTTATGGACGACGCCATTTTGGGTTTTCCGTTCTGGAGATAAATAAGTTCCTAGGTGAAGGTCACATGTCATTTCCTGATTTAGAAGGATTTCCCCCGTTATGTGAGTCACGACGTAGATTTGTATATTTTGAATGATGATTATCATGACGATGATGGCATTGTATGTTGTCGCCGATTTAGTTCTTGTCTGATAGAAGAATGCGAGCAAAGGACATTGTTAATGCATTTGAAATTATTATTTAATGAGTCAATAATGAGCAAAAATATCTTGACTGTAATTGTACAGTACTTAGATGTTTTATCATCACTGATCACTGAATGACTGAGACCGGTAAGGTTATAACAACAGAGGGTTAGTTTACTGTAATAGTCTCTTATCTTTGACAGTTCAATTCAATTCACAATTCAAGTGGAAACTAAATCCATGTCCCATGAGCCTGTGTATCTGAAATTACATGTAAAATAATGTCTATGGTGATTACCTGAATCAATCCAACAATTTTGAACACGATGAAGAGTGTTTTCACTATTTTAGCCTTTGTAAGGGTTGCAATGATTTAAAGTAAATGATAAGTAAATCTAGAGGTTTGTTTGCCTGTGACAGATCCAGAAAATTAGTTTTTTTACGGGCTTGGGAACTGACCTCAATTTGTCGCCTGTTAACATCAGTTAGATATCTTTAACATTGTAAACGATTTACCTTTTTTAGTGTTAGAAACCTTCTCCATCCTTGACTTTTACTGTTATAAAGATTACATTGATTTGATCTTTTTGCCAATTAGTACCAATTAACAAGAACAGTATTTGTCTTACCTGTGCCATCATCAATAAACACTATGTGCACCTGCAGTAGGTTAATGTATAAGGGTGACCAGCAGTCAGTCCAGGTATCATAAATCACTGAGCTGTTTGTATTATGAATTGTAACAAATTAACAAGTGACATGAATTGACAGAGTCTGTGACACATTGATGTATTTTTCTAGTACTATTTCAAGACTGCAACTGGATGTTGTGGTTTGGATTACATTAAATTGCAATTCTGTGAAAGGATCCTCCAACTTATTGTCAGTCAGAGGTTTAGACATGTAGGGGTTCACTTGTACTTCAGTATCACCACATTCCCTGACAACTTTGAAACTATTGTTTCTGTCACTGTCACAGTCTAATATGTCAACAAGATACAATCAATTTGTGCTCACCATATCATAAAATGAATGAAGTAAGTACAATGCTAAAGGTTGATTTTTCTAGACAGATCAGCAAATGTTTTAAACAATGAAGAGTGTCAAAACAAATGGGATGGTACCAAGATTCATATAATACACACATTTGCACATCATTTTCTCACTGGGTACTTGTTTGGTGTTATAAATGGCTTTTGTCACATTTCAGTTATTGAAAGAAAGAGGTGTATATTTTAATCTTTAACCACTCATACACAAAGGTAAGTCTATACAGTCTCCGTCCCCACTTTATGTTGCTTGGACATGTTGGATGGCTCACATAACATAGGTGAGGTGAAATTGCATGAGAATATTTCACTCATATGACGAAGTGCATGCGTGTGTATGTGTATGTGTGGCCAGACTGAAGCTGGTTTTATAGTGCTAGCCCACTGAGATACCATGCCGCAGTGAAGCATGAATACCCCACTCAGACACATTATACTGACTCCGAGCCGACCAGTGCTTGTTGTACCCATTAATGCCGAGCGCCAGGCCGGGACCAACAAGTACCATATTTTAACGTCTTTTGGTATGATGCGGTCGGGGATCGCACCAGCAACCTTCCGCTCTCCGGGCGGACTCTCTAACCACTACACCACGGGGGCGGTCCATAATATAGACATTCTATAGACAGTGTTATGATCTTTCCAATCCTGCGGAGTTGGTGCTACCTATGTTATTTCTGGGACTATATTAATAGTTATTGTTTATCTGCTTCTCCAACCGTTTGAGTTAATAATTCATGGACAAATGAAGTCTTTTGTGAGAGATAACAAAGAATTTCAATGTGACTGAGATTGTCAGTCATATCTGGAAAACAAGCTGTTGAATTAGTTTGGCGAAATGTTATCATAGTAAAGAGTGAATATGGCTTTGATGGGAATCGTTCTTGATTTAAAAAAGAATCAACAAAAGTAGAGAGTACAGTGGTACCTATGTTGTGTGTACTTTACCAATAATATTGTATGGCATTTACTGGTGAGTGTATTATTTACAGTAGTTTCAACACTTTTCAGTTTTTCTAAATCTTATTCCAAAATTTAAGATATTTGTATTTAATCCAAATATTTTTTGTAGTATATAATCAATAATTAAAAATCTTTGAAGTCACTTCAGCAAGACAATATATTCATCTGGCAGAGATATTTGCTATAAATTATTAAATGAGGAGATGATACCGCAGTCCTCCAAACTATTGCTTGTCCACTGGCCTATGACTACTGAATTCTGCTGAGGGCAATGAAAGATCCCGTACTGGCAGTCCTTAATGATAAGTAACATTTGAGTGCTAGAATTCTTCAGTACTCCATGCTTTCAAATTTAATTCAAGTCATTCAAGCAGGACTAGATGTTAACTCAGTGAACTAATTTTTGTTACCATTCTAGTATCAGTCTTATGCATAGCAAATGTATAAAGCAGGACCCCATTTGTCCGAGCTCTACCATCCTGTGGATCCTGAGGATTTGTTGGACAGAATCTTATTTGTGTTATTATGATTACAGAAATACTTCCATCTTTTGACATCAGATGATTCAAAAAGGCTATCAATCACCCTTTCAGTGTTGCTTTGTGTGTATTTGTAGGAAAAAAGACACAGAATGTCGGATCACAGTCATCGCCATACAAAACCCACAAGTGAGGAGGTGTACCAGGATGCCAAGAGAATCCTGGAAGAATACCTGAAGAGGAAGTTGAAAGACACAGAACCGAATCACTCGAAGTATGGGAGAAGTGAGAGCTACAAGGCTGCTTCAAAGGCAGGTGAGGATGAGGATGAAAATCAGGATGACTTGCATGGTTCTCGGAATGGCATTGGACGTTCCAAAACCATGCCTTCTAGTTTCAAAGTAGAAAAGGACTCACAAAACAAAAATAAAAGAGGAACGAAAAAAATCGGTCATGGGTATTCCTCTCCTGACACAGATTTGGATGAACCCCATGATGACAGTTCCCAACAACGAAAAAAGAAAAGTTTTTTCAAACGAGCCACAGAAAGATTAATGCATGCAATCCATCGGGACCGTAGATCCGGAGATGAAGATGTAAATATTTATGAGTCAAAGACAGGACAAAAGGAAGAAGATTAAAAGAAAGAATAAAAAGGAAGTGCACGATTCACCTGATATGAACATTTCACATGAGAAAAACACTCACATACATATTGACTCACACATATCATCTACCAGTGATCGGCGTGCTAAAGGTGACACGTTGGATATTCCAGATGATAAGTCTTCACATCATGACAGCCATTCATCCTCTTCTAGAAGAAATTCAGCAGGGAAAAAATTCTTTGATTCCATACGAAGTCTTTTAGGAAGACGAAGAAGAGTTATATAACAGGTACGCGAATATTATGCTTCACAATTATTATATATTTCAAGTTAAAAGGAATTACAGTTGTACCAATTTATTTTTCTAACTTGCTGACCTCCAAAACTTTTTGTTCCAAATATAGGTGTTTATTAGAACGTAATTATTTTATCTAAACCCGACTTACAATGCACCAGGATGTACTTTTCTTTATCAGAAGTATGGACCTGTATCACATTCTTGTTGTTAAAGACATATTAATTAAGAACTGGTCACCTTGTTTTGTTTCTGTAGGGGCAGTGGGGTAGCCTAGTGGTTAAAGTATTTGATCATCATGCCAAAGGCCGGGGTTCGATTCCCCACATGGGTAAAATGTGTGAAGCCCATTTCTGGTGTCCCCCACTGTGATATTGCTGGAATATTGCTAAAAGCGTTGTAAAACCATGCTCACTCACTTGTTTCTGTGTTGTTGTCCCCCACCCCAACGCAGAATGGGGGACTATGCATTCAACGGCATCCGTACGTCCCGATTCTTGTTAACATGATATCTCATAAAATATTGCACCCAATGTCTTCATTTTTGTCAACGGCCAACATTGAGTGATTATGGAGACACCAGTCATTTCAGGCATCTTGTATGTGACCAAAAAATATAAAGTAGTAAATATGTTATAAATATTCCATTCTTTAGCGACGGGGGACATTGCCATATTAGTGACAAACACTTGTTATACCAGTGGTGTTGATGGATGCTCATGTTATCAACCGCTGGTTTGTCTCAGCCTTGATCGTGTTGACGTGATCCTTCACGGACTGCCCTCATGTAGCTCATTATAGTTGGCTCAGCACACCAGGATATTGGGTCATTGTTTATTTACTTCAAGTAAAATATTTTCAGAGGATCAGCGACATGACAAGCATCTTCCTGAATCAGGAGAGTACCAAATTATGACTTCATTTTAAAAATAATTTCTCTGTAAATTTTACAGACAATGCTCCGACCATAGCAGCAACCATGTTATCAGAACCATGATGATGTTGTAAAATGTTCTGTGTTTGGACTGTGACTATTTGGCATAGACATGGACATGAAATGGCTAGAGTGAAAATTAGACTTGGTACCAGTTAGTGGACACACTTGCCCCAGGACAGTGAGTGAGTTGGTTTTATGCTGCTTTTAGCAATATTCCAGCAATATCACGGCGGGCGACACCAGAAATGGGCTTCACCCATTGTACCCATGTGGAGAATCGAACCCAGGCCTTCAGCATGACAAGCAAACGCTTTAACCACTAGGCTACCCCTCTGCCTGCTTGCCCCAAGAAGTACATTTCAAAATTTGTAGATGGATATTCTCATAAGCCTAGAGAACAAATTATTTTTTCCTTTATTCATGTTTGTTTACATTCTAGCATGCACAAATGTGTCTGTTTCTTATATATTTTGACGTGCATCAATCAGCAAAGGTTGAGATCATGGTAAGATTCTTTTTCTAGACTTTTGTAAATCTTAGAATGTGTTTATACGTCAGATTTACTTTGTGATACTTTCAGGACCTGTTTAACAATGATAACAAGTATCATGTCTCTACGATGCGTATCTCTTTACCAGAATCAAAGTCTGCTGAACCAGTAGATTCCAGTGAACGAGAGCGGTCCTACTCACGGAGCATATCAACACCAGACAGAAACCTGGCAGCGGAGGGAGGCCATAGGTCAAGAAGCAGTTCAAAAACACCGGAATCAAAAGACAAGAAAGCTCATGGCATCAAGCATGGAGACTCTGCAGGTCAGCGACAAACAAGGACTGATTATTTGGTATCGCAGAGTACAGATCACTCGGCACCAAGAACAATCCGTGTTTATGGTGCCCACGGTGACAAAGGTTTATTCCCAAATATGGCACCTCCAAATCCACCTTCATGTTTAGAAGGTGCCGTAATTGAATCCAGTGTTGACATAGATAGGAAATGTGTGACAATCGCCGATGATGGATTGTGGGAGTGTCATGTGACTACACACACCCATGAAAAGATGAAGATTCTGCCACAAACTTCTATTGAAATTGACGGTAACGCGGGCCCGCAAGATGAAATGGGTGAGAATCCATCTGTATAGCTTCTTCTGGTGTACAAGGATGTACGGGGTTTGAAATTTGTTTTGAAAATTGAAGTGTCACTAATTTTGTTATGGTGGAAGTTTAGGCAAAGGCACAAAATTTCAATAAAGTGGACCAGTATTTGTTATTGTGACGACATGATAATGGACTGATGGACACACAGTGATGACCATGTACCAACAATTTATATGTGTGTACAGAAAAATCATATCAGTGTAAACTATTTTCCATAGCTTTAGCCTAGTTTGGGTATTGGTGAATTGAAGAGAAGTATCAGTTTTTGTGATATTGTTTCAGACGATGTTGACTCTCCGACTGACTCGCCCGCTGACAAGGATGAGGCTATAGACAAGATTGTGAAGAAGCTGATAGAGATTGGTGACAACTTGTCATCAGAGAGCGAGTCTCATCGGTCACAAGAAGCAGAGGGTGCTGTAGGGGGTGCACCAGGCAGAGGTGAGGCTTTTGTGGAGTTTTTTTGTTTTTAGTGTGCAACCCCACTTTTGGGGACCGACAAGTTGATCATCTAGGGGTTCTTTTAAAAAAAAAAAAATTGTTAAAAAATACCCTAAAAATTAATTTACCTCTTTATTTATGAGAAACAAAAAGATGACTGTCGGATGCTTGATGACCTGAAACATATATGTTGAAGTTTTAACTGTTCAGCTGCTTCTTTCAAAATAGTGACAAATATCCTGGCCATGCTGTGCTGTATTTTGTTATGAAGCTGATCTGTATTAGGTAATGAAGATCATAAGAGTTGTTGAATACCCCACTCAGACACAGTATACTCAGACTCCGAGCAGACCAGTCCTTGTTGCACCCATTCATGCCGAGCGCCAGGTGGGAATCAAACCTGTGACCTTCCACTCTCAGGGCGGATGCACTAACCACTACACCACGGAGGCGGCTAACAATTGATGAAGTCACAATAGGATTCTAATGGGATTTAATGTGAATATCAGCAAACTGAATGTAACCAAACACATATATGCACCCAAAGATTGGTTGATCGGGTTCCATCCTGATGATGTATTTGTGCCTTGGCCAGTTGTTTAGAGTTTCTGTTGTCATGGTGGTTACAGGAGACGTGAGGCTGTCAACATTGGAGCGGCAGATCCTGGAGTGTCTGAGGGAAGGAGGAGACCGGATGTCACACAACGTGAGTCTCCTAGCAACACGACACCCCATGGGATCACAGACACAACAGGTCCCCAGTACACCAAGCTTGTCTCCTAGCAACGTGACATCTCATGGGATCACAGATACAACAGGTCCCCAGTACACCAAGCTTGTCTCCTAGCAACATGACACCCCATGGGATCACAGACACAACAGGTCCCCAGTACACCAAGCTTGTCTCCTAGCAACATGACATCCCATGGGATCACAGATACAACAGATCCCCAGTACACCATGCTTGTCTCCTAGCAACATGACACCCCATGGGATCACAGACACAACAGGTCCCCAGTACACCAAGCTAGTCTCCTAGCAACATGACACCCCATGGGATCACAGACACAACAGATCCCCAGTACACCATGCTTGTCTCCTAGCAACATGACACCCCATGGGATCACAGACACAACAGGTCCCCAGTACACCAAGCTTGTCTCCTAGCAACATGACATCCCCATGGGATCACAGACACAACAGGTCCCCAGTACACCATGCTTGTCTCCTAGCAACATGACACCCCATGGGATCACAGATACAACAGGTCCCCAGTACACCAAGCTTGTCTCCTAGCAACATGACATCCCATGGGATCACAGATACAACAGATCCCACACAACAGCTCTCCTAGCAACATGACACCCCATGGGATCACAGACACAACAGGTCCCCACCAAGCTTGTCTCCTAGCATGACATCTCATGCTTTGTCTCCTAGCAACATGACACCCCATGGGATCACAGACACAACAGGTCCCCAGTACACCATGCTTGTCTCCTGGCAACATGACACCCCATGGGATCACAGACACAACAGGTCCCCAGTACACCAAGCTTGTCTCCTAGCAACATGACACCCCATGGGATCACAGATACAACAGGTCCCCAGTACACCAAGCTTGTCTCCTAGCAACATGACACCCCATGGGATCACAGATACAACAGGTCCCCAGTACACCAAGCTAGTCTCCTAGCAACATGACACCCCATGGGGATCACAGACACAACAGGTCCCCAGTACACCAAGCTTGTCTCCTAGCAACATGACACCCCATGGTATCACAGACACAACAGGTCCCCAGTACACCATGCTTGTCTCCTACACAACACAGACACCCCATGGGATCACAGATCACAGACACAACAGGTCCCCAGTACACCAAGCTTGTCTCCTAGCAACATGACACCCCATGGGATCACAGACACAACAGGTCCCCAGTACACCAAGCTTGTCTCCTAGCAACATGACACCCCATGGGATCACAGACACAACAGATCCCCAGTACACCATGCTTGTCTCCTAGCAACATGACACCCCATGGGATCACAGATACAACAGGTCCCCAGTACACCAAGCTTGTCTCCTAGCAACATGACACCCCATGGGATCACAGATACAACAGATCCCCAGTACACCAAGCTTGTCTCCTGGCAACATGACAACCCATGGGATCAGACACAACAGGGATCACAGACACAACAGGTCCCCAGTACACCATGCTTGTCTCCTAGCAACATGACACCCCATGGGATCACAGATACAACAGGTCCCCAGTACACCAAGCTTGTCTCCTAGCAACATGACACCCCATGGGATCACAGACACAACAGGTCCCCAGTACTCCATGCTTGTTTCCTGGCAACATGACACCCCATGGGGATCACAGACACAACAGATCCCCAGTACACCATGCTTGTCTCCTAGCAACATGACACCCCATGGGATCACAGATACAACAGGTCCCCAGTACACCATGCTTGTCTCCTAGCAACATGACACCCCATGGGATCACAGATACAACAAATCCCCAGTACTCCATGCTTGTCTCCTAGCAACATGACACCCCATGGGGATCACAGACACAACAGGTCCTTAGTAACCCAAACTTGTCTCCTAGCAACATGACACCCCTTGGGGATCACAGATACAACAGGTCCCCAAGTATACCCCATGAGCTATATATATATACTATATTCGTCCCGATATATTATTGTGCATGTTTGAACTTGATCGCCGGGATACGTGTGCACAGCTGATTGCTATTTCTGGCTCAAATATAGTATGACCAGAAATTATTGAGAATTTTAGGAATATGTGTAATTGGATTCCTAGTATAAACAACCTTGACCAGCTATCAAGTGCTTGGTTTCATTCAAGAGAGACAACTCCGTTAATCCTTTTTCATTAGTTTGTGAAGAGTTATCCCCCTTTGTTTACTTGCTAGCAGACAACATTTTCAGTGATCCTCAGTATGGATGATTTAGAGAAGAGGAAGTTGATTTTAGAGTATTATAACAAGGACATCAGATCAGCTAAAGTGATTTCAAGTAGAACAGGCATCCCTTTGTCCACTGTTTATCGTGTTTGGAAAAATATTGCAAATGGATATGGCATTGAGCACCAGGGAGGCACAGGTAGGCCCAGAAAATTGACTGTCGGTGACAGGAGGCGGCTTGGTATTCTTGTTTCTAAAAAACAAATGAAGGAGTTTAGAAAACTTAAGGCTGGTTATGATTGATAGAGGAACTGTGGCTGTCTGTAAGGAGACAATTAGAACTGAGCTGCATGCAATGGGTTCGCAGAAAAGTCGAGGAATTCCATCACCGATCATGAAACCTGAACAAAAAGAGCGAAGGTTGAACTGGTGCTTACAGCATAGAAATTTTAACTGGGACAATGTGATTTTCTCAGATGAAAGTTCTGTGTGGCTGTTTCCTAATACACAGAAATTCCGGACCAAACAAACAGAAAAACCTTTCTATCAGCGCCCAAAGTACAGTCCAAAATTTAACGTATGGGGTGGCATATCTGTGTTAGGGGCAACACCCCTCTGTGTATTTGAAGGGAATATGAACAGTGAGCGGTACACAGATATTCTCGAGGGACATTTACTTCCATCTGCTCATGTGTTTTATGGAAATTTTTGGATTTTCCAGCAGGACAACGACCCAAAACATCGTTCAAAGCATTCACAGGCCTGGTTTCGGACCCAAAATATGACATTATTAGATTGGCCAAGCTATAGCCCTGACCTAAATCCAATAGAAAATGTTTGGGGACTTATGAAGGAAAGTGTCAATAAGAAAAATCTGACAAATATTGCTGAAATGAAAGAAGAGGTGGTCCGATATTGGGACAGCATGGACCACGACATTCTAACTTCTTTGATCAATAGTATGCCCCACCGCATTGAAGCCTGCATTGCTGCCCATGGTGACTTGACAAAATACTAACTGTTCATCTGTCTTTGAATCTGGAGTTATGTTCTGCTAATATTCACATTTAATATGTGAGTAATTAGTGAAAAAAAAAAATTACAATCTTAAATTCTCAATAATTTCTGGTTGTACTGTACACATGGTAATCTTAATCCCTGCAAATAAAATAATGAATGGATGAAAGGTTTATTCGCTGTGTATAAATTTTCGTAGTAAAATATTTTGCATGAAAATAAGACCTGCGCGATATATAATACGTTTACAGTACATGTATGTATATGTTGAACTTAAAAATGATTATTTCTGAAAACAAACTTTGCACATTTCTCTAGATTGATGATCACGCTAATGAATTCATCGATGGTGCAGTGAGGCAGACAGTGTACCAGAAGTTTTGCACAACGCTTCCGGCAGTCAGTAGGTGATGAAGTCAACTGGAACCAGATGGCGCTGGTGTTCCATGCCACAAAGAGTGCGTTGAAGGTGGCTGGTGTGGGAAGCAAGATGGCAAACCAGCTGAAGGACCTGACACTGAAGTATGTGACGGAGAGATGCGCGTCCTGGATCGTGGACCAGGGAGGATGGGTAAGGCCGAAACATTCACGTGGTTCCTCTCTCAGAGATTTATCCAGGATTCTAAAACATGTGTCCTTCATTGGCATATTGGGAAACAATGTATTTTGTTCAAAACAGGGATTCTTTAAAAGATTATAATTTTTCCTTATCCTGACTCATGCTTAATTGCTTGTCTTCTTCCTCTTGCGAACATAGTGGAACACTTGTATCTCCTTATTGAAGCTCCCTCCAATAAAACGTATGTAAAATCACTAATCACTACTCACCAAGAGTTATCCCTCCTTCCTGTTTTGGCGGGAACTGGCGCCACTGTTCCCCCACATGCTTCACTCTCTCCTTCTTCGCCCAGTGAGCAGGTTGTGAGAGCGCCTGTGTCTCCTTACGGCACTATATCCTTTCATTACTTAGTTAGTTACCTCTATTAGTTTATTATAGAGGTTTAGCTAGTATCCTTCATCAATATGATTTGATATTTTATCGTATTTAGCACTGTTTATTCACGGTGTAGTCCGTGTTTGTTCAGTAGTTTACGTTCATGAAAATCTGTTCCAAATGTAAGTTACGTTTCTCTGCTGCTGACCCGCACCTAATATGCCCTAGCTGCACGGTACAATGTTCTTTCAGCTCACGCTGCAATTATTGCAAGCATTTATCTACTTGTGCATTTAATAAATACCTTTTTTGCGTCCTGAGACGTGCTGCAGATAGGTCGAGAAGGGTTGATCCAGTCATGGATAATTCAGCTGAGTCCCTCACCAGTCAACTGCTGTCTGACGACCCCCTACCGTCTGGTGTTCCGCTGGAGTTTCCCTCGGAGGAGAGGTGTGGGACGAAGTCCACCACCTCCAAGAAGAGACCTGCTTCTCCAGACATCCCGTCGTCACAGTCTAAGACTCGAAGATCGTCAACCACCCAGCGCAGACTCCGCACCCCCAAGGCAGCGTCCACCACCAAGGGGAAGTCAGCGCAGACAACCAGAACTTTCTCGGCCGAGATTGTTCCCTTGACAGAACAGGGTCTGTATGATGATCAGCCGATCATCATCCCAGAGGTTCATCGCAAGAAACGACCGGTCTCAGCTACGGTGACTTCAGCACAGATTTCTTCTCAACCCGAGGTATCAACGCTGACGACAGATACCGTCCAGTGGGCCCCGTCGCCATCACCGCAGGAAGGGCAGCGCCAGTACCACCGCAGACCTTCAACCCGGGCGACTTTATGCAGCAGTTCTCCAAGCAGATCATGGAGCTGATGGAAGAACGTTACGGCCTGGAAAAGAAGTCACAGCCAGCCCAGGTCCCGAGCCTTCGCGAAGGCTCCAACGCAGACATCATCCCTGAGGGGCCTGCCATCAACGTGACTTCTGCCAACAGAACTGCACTCCCGGACCAGCCTGCACGAAGGTCGTCTCAACCATCCCCTGCGGAGGACTCGGACGATCAGTATCCGCGAAGGCGTTCGCGAAGGCCAACAAGATCCCCTCCTGCTTCGGACTCGGACGATCAACGTTCGCGAAGGCTTTCGTGAAGGAGGAATCGCTCATCCCCGGACTCTGGATTGGACAACAAGCCTTCGCGAAGGCGTTCGCGAAGGACCAGTCACCAATACCCAGATGCGGATTCAGATGATCAGCGTTCGCGAAGGCCTTCGTGAAGGACTTCAGCAACAGTATCCAAGACATCTGCATCCCACAGAGCGACGAGGGATTCACCAGGACCTTCGCGAACCCACATTCGCTCATCTCCGTGCAGGTCACGCTACAGGCACAGATCGCCGGGCCATTCACCACGCCGGTCTCCACGCCGATCTCCACGCAGATCCCCACGCAGGTCTCCGTGCAGGTCTCCACGAAGGTCACCACGACGTTCGCCCCACAAGTCTCCGCGCAGGTCTCCACGCAGATCTCCACCTAGGTCACCACAGTCACGTAGGACTCCACCTCGTTCACCATCGGAGGGGTATCAACGTCCCTTACTCAGCACTCCTGTCACTGAGCATGATGGCGGCATCATCTTTTCTGACTCTGAAATACGTTACTGGATGGCTAATGGATTGGACTTGGCTTCACCATCGAAAGACGATAATCCGGCTCACACCTATCTTATGAGAGAGGATGATGTCGACACGCTCACTCTGCCCCCGATTGATCCCATCGCAGCGGTTCCACAGAACCTGGACGCAGCCTTCAAGACAGCCACTAAAGCCCAGGCGCCGCACCTACCACAGTTCAACGCCAGGAAGTTCTCCTCCCATAACATGGATCCTTTCCTTAAAGCTCAGGACATAGACGAGAACTTCAAGGTCATTAGCGATGCCAAGGCCAAGTCTTACAAGATTGAGGACAGGAAGCTGGCTCAAGTGGAAACTATGACCAGACGGATGTTCTTCGGCCTCAACAGATCTCGGGCAGTCAACGAAACGCTCATCGCCAAGTTTCGAGACTCCACTGAGGAAGAAGATAGAATGATTTATTCGGCCCTCCTTATGCAGAAGAAGGACCATCAGTTCATGACAGACCACCTCTCATCTATCTCCGCAGCGCTAACACTGGCTCGTCGACAAGGTCTCCTCGCCTCCTGCAGTTGGAGTGAACAGTTTACCAAGTCACTCTACACAGCCCCGTGGTCAACTCCTTCCATCTTCGCTGGAGAAATCGACAAGGTTGCTAAGGAAGTTACCAAAGATTCAAGAGAAGTCCTAATGATCAAGTCCATAGACACTCTGGCCAGCGTCATCAGGCAAACATCCCAGCGTTACTCAGGAAGATCCAAGTTTCCTGGAATACAGAGGGCACGGGACAAGAAAGTGGCTAGCTCCAGAGGCGGGAAGGACTCTTTTCGCCGCCCTACCGGCAACTACAGAGCAAGATCCGGACGAGGCAGGGCACCCAGAGGCTCCAGGGATTATCGACGATGAAAGACGGGTTCGGAACGACTGGAGTCTTCCACCCCCAGCCGTTCCTGTACAACCTTCCCAAGTGGGTGGACGTCTACAACTACACTGGGAAAACTGGGGAATACTGCAAGATCCATCCTAAGACACAGATATCGCATTCAACTACGGGCCGCTCCACCGCTTACAGTCAACCCTCACAAGTTCGACTTCAAGACACATCAGATAGAGCAGTTACGAGAGGCCGTCTCATCTCTTCTAACCAAGCGGGCCATAGAAATCGTGGATCCAGTCAACATCACACCAGGTTTCTACTCCCCAGTTTTCCTGGTTCCAAAGAAAAACTCCAAAGAAAAGTTCCGACTCATCTACAATATGAGCACGTTCAACAGGGATTATCTCACGCAGACCTCCCACGTTCCGCATGATACATCTACCTCAACTAATCCATGGCCAGCATAGATCTACAGGATGCCTACCTGCATATCCCTATCCATCCCGACTCGAGAAAGTACCTCAGATTTACACTGGACGGGCTACATTACCAATGGAAGGTCCTGCCATTTGGAATATCAACGGCCCCATGGTTGTTTACAAGAGTAACAAAACCCATAGTCACATATCTACATCATCGAGGGCTACGCAGTGCATTCTACCTCGACAACGGGATTCAAGTAGATCAAGATCCAGAGCGTCTCAGACTACAGTTGAATTTCACCATCGATCTACTCACTCAGCTAGGATGGTTAGTGAATCTACTCAAGTTGGACCTAGAACCTACACAGGACCTGCAGTTTCTAGGCATCAGATTTCTCACGACACAGAACCGTATTGTCGTGCCAGAGGACCGATGGCTCAAGATTCAACAGACAATCCCTCAAGCCTTACTCTCTCCGTTGCCACTACGACATTGGCAGAGTCTGTTGAGTCTCCTCACGTCCGCACAAGACATGACAGCCAGAGGCAGACTACAGCTACGCCCGTTACAGGTCCTCATCAACGCTCATCTTGACGACCTAGAACCCTTCGGTCTCCCGAATTACCTCAGACCTCATCTACTATGGTGGACCCGGAGGTCGAATGTTTGCGAAGGCATCTATTTAGCAGAGCCGGAGTTCAAGACCCATCTATACGTGGACGCGTCACTCCAAGGTTGGGGAGCACATCTCGACAACTAGGTGGCAGCCGGGATATGGAACCAGGAAGAGAGAAGTCTGCGCATCAACATGCTGGAGATGAAAGCAGTCATCAACGCCATACTCCATTGGAGCACCATTCTACAGAATGCGCATCTCATGGTACACACAGACAACTCTACAGTGGCGTTTTATATAAACAAGCAAGGCTCAACCAGATCATTGAACCTACTGGAACTCTGCTTTCAACTGTTCGACCTAATCGATGATCTGAACATCCACGTAAGAGCATGTCACATTCCAGGAGCCAAGAATGTCTTAGCAGACGCACTCTCCCGTCCAACTCAACCATCGCCGACGGAATGGATGCTCCATCCAGGGATCTTCACACAGATCATCAAGGAAATAGGAGCTCCGTTGATAGACCTATTCGCCACACGCTTCAACAATCAGCTAACAACATTCGTCTCTCCAGTCCCAGATCCACGAGCGTGGGCAGCGGAGGCTCTCAGCATATCCTGGGAAGGCCTAAACGCGCGTCGCAGCGTTTCCACCGCCAGCGCTACTACCGAGGGTGTTACAAAAATCAGCCAGACAAGGAACCTCCAACTGATTTTGGTCAGCCCTACTGGCCAGAGAGAATGTGGTTCCCCATTCTCATACAAGAACTCGGACCACCAATACTGCAACTACCAGAGCGGTCAAATCTACTAGTACATCCTCACACAAAGCAGGCGCACGGCAACCCAAGGGCATTCCAACTTCACGTGTGGACTGTATCAAGGCATGTTTAAACAAAAGAGGGTACTCTGCCAGAGCGGCGAAAGCAGTCACGCTTGCTTTACGCAATTCTACACGCAACTTGT